TATATTTAATTAATATACTTCTCAATATTACTAATATTATAAGTTTTAAAGAAAATGTGTAAATAACTAATAGAATGATTTACAATATGCTTCCTATTTTATATGATCATTTTCATATTTTATAAGTATTAGACTTTGTTGATTCTACAGGTTAGGCTCTCTTTTTATTTGATAAGATATTTAAAATAAAAATAAACCTTTCCTTAAGTGAACATTTATCAGATACCTGTATTATATATCTTAATAATTCATTAATTGATCAAAGTATATGTAATAGTATTATAAGTGTGATTATAGATGTAAATATAATAAATAAACACATTTGTATTACTTTTTTAGTTTGAAGTTCTATAATTAATGTTAATATCTACAGATGGTGGACAAAAGTTTCTGGACACTTTTTTACTAAATAAAAAACTTATAATTCTTTAACATTAATAGTAAAAATTCTAATATTATTTTATTTAGAGTTGTTTAAGGCATATATTTTATATTAAGCTTTAGTACTTGGTTAGGCCTTCCTTTGCCACAATCATAGTCTGAATTTATTATAGCATACTATTGACTAAATTTTCAATAGTATGCATTAGAATTTTTCGCTATGCTTTTTTAATATAGCAGTTAAGGTTAGCAAAATTCAATGGTAGTTTTTTATATGCACGAATGTTTTTTTTAATATCAGTCCATAAATTTTCAATTGGGTTAAGATCAGAACATTGGGCTGGTCAAGTAAAATATGACTCTGTGTTATTTGGTTAATTCTTTATTTTATCCTATTATTTTTCAATTTGATAGAGATTAAGTGAATTAAGTTAAAATAACAAAAATAACACAAATTTTTTTATTTTGATTATTTAAATAAACAATAGATAGTCATATAATCACAGTATAGTATCACAATTATATGATGAAAATTTGTTAAATCACATTTATAAAAGTGTTCAGAAATTTTTGTCTACCCTCTGTATAAACAAATTTATTATTTTAATATAAATAATAATAATTATTATCACTTACAGTTTCTCTTATATAAGTCATTCACTTTAATAGTTCATAAAATTCAAGGATTAACCTTATTAAAGGTCATCTTCATATTAGATAAAAATATTTTTACTTCTGATCAGACTTTTATTATATTTAACAGGTGATATTTCATCTTAATAAATCAGCTTTTATAACTAATCTTAAAGTTATTCTAGAATACCAAAGATTAGTTACTATTTCAGAGATAGACTTCATATATTTCAAACTTCTTATATAATTTAATTAAACAAAATTAATAAAAAAAGATAGTATTTATTTAAATTAAAATATACATAATTTATATTATAATTGAATAATTAAATATAAAAAAATAAAATAATAAAATATTAAAAAAAAATAAACAATTTGCCAAAATCAAATAAATTTATTAAATAAATTACCTTTATTTAAATTATAAAAATAATTTAAATATAAATTAAAAATTTAATAATTTAAAAACTCATATATAATATAACTATAATCATACGAATATTATGATCATACTAGTTAGCCAGTGAGTACTAAAATAAATGTACTGGTTAGTTTATTTTAAATTTTATAATAAGTTGAATTTTATTAAAATATATTAGGAAATAATAAAAAATATATACATAAGTATTGTGATTATATATAAAATAAGTTACAAAAAACTGTTTTAAAAACATTAAATTTTATTTTATAAGTTGAATAAGATATTTTGCAAGAATTATGGAGATATATGAATATATATAAGAAGAATATTATAAGATAACTTGCTAAATTTGCAGAAAAAAATATAAATCACATAAAAGTATTTCTGATAATGTACTTAATTAAATTATTTTAGAAAATAAATAACTAAATAATAAATTTATTTATAAATTAAATATAATTTAAGCAATATTAAAATTATTTTAGCTAATTAAATTTACTTTAATTATGTGATTTTGTATTATATCAATAAAAAATTGAAAAATTTTTTTATTTGTTTAATTAATTTGTTTTAACATAACTATCTAATAATAATAATTTTATAAAATTCTGATCATTAGATTATAAAATATTTTAAGATTTATTATAAAAGTATTGTATTGTATTAATTTTTATTTTATTATAAATAAAAGTTTCTATAAATTTTATAATAATTAGATTTTGTTTAATAAGTTATTAAAAATAAAAATAATTTAAAGACTATCTAATTAAAATTTTTTATGATATTTTATTATTAATTTTTTGATTATATAAATTAATCATTTTTTTTTAATAATTTTTCTTATATAGTTTTAATACAATTTTTATTAATTATTGAACCTACTATTTAAATATTTTATTTTCAAATAATAATTGTTTATTAAAATAATTTAATTTTTTACTTTTTACATTTTAAATTAATAAAAATTCTTAAACTTCAAAGTTATAAAATTTTTTATATTAGAATAATTAATCTTTTTTATTTATTTATTTTTTTTTTCAGAAAATAAAGAAATTCAATTATCTGTTTTTTTTTAAAATACTTAATAAAATATTTTTAGTAACAATTTATTATAATGTCTTTTTACATAAAGTAATGTTTTAAAAATCAATCAATAAAATAATTTTGAAAAATATTTAATTATAATTTTTATTTTATTTCATCTGATATATATCATTTTGAATTCCTAATATATATCTTATATAATATTATTAAAAATAGATTTTCAAATTAAATAGTGATCAACAATAATTTCTGTTTTACCTGTTTCTTTTTTTCTATATAGTCTGTTTATTTTGTTTATTTTGTTTCATTTATAATTCTTTAATATCTGTAATTTATTTTATTTTTTTTATTATTTTATAGTTTACTTTAATTTTATTATTTTATTATGTTTATGTATATTTTATATAATTTATATTTAATTAATTTATAATATAGTAAGTAATTAATTGTAGCAAATTAATTTGGTATAAATATAATAACTTTTTGTTCAAGTTATAAATTAACTTTTTTGTGAGTTTTAAATTATAATAAAAAAATCAATTTAAACCTTATAAAAATTACTTTCCTTTCAATGTTATCTCTTATCTAAAATTTGTTATAATATTCTATATTAACTTACTTTTGAGTTTATTATTTGAATTTGATTAAAAAATCTTAAATTTTAAGACATAATAAATTGGCAAATTGATTCAAATAAATTCAAATAACGGATATCTGTAAGATTTAGAGAAAATTCTAAGGTTATAAACTTCAACAAGTAGAATTAATTATTACAACTCTTTCAACTTAAATGTTAAAATAATCAAAAATGAACTCAGTAATAATATGTAAAATTTAACCAACATTTTCTAGTTATACCAGCACTTTTTATAGTACAAAAAGATTTAACAATTATATTTAATATAGTTAGTATAAAAAAATTAATTAATTTAAAGATATTAATATTAAGATATGCATAAAGTTGTCTTTAATGAACAAATAGTTTGGAAATTAGTAGATAGTGGTAATAATTCTCATTGTACAGTTTTTGTTGATTTATGTTTTCTTTTGCAAGTATTTCTAGTATCTATTTAGTTTTAAATTTGATTTTATTTTTGTCCTCATCATCTAAAATCTAGATTGTTTAAGAAATACTAATGAGACATAATACATTTAACATAAAAGATAATTCAGTTTTATTATTATTATTATTATTTATTAAAAAAAGTAAAAAAGCGATTATCAGGTTACAATGATTGCGATCTGCATAATCAAAGAAAATTTTGCACAATCATGCAAAAATGGTATAAAAAAAATTTTAGCGTTTCAAATTTGCACGCTGGACGATCCATGGGATAAAAGTAACGAAGTTTCACAATTTTTCTATATTATATAATATCGGACTGTACTTTATAAATTAGACTTCTTGTCAAAAGTGTCACGAAAATCACGCGATATTTTTCTGTTACCTCTTTTTCGCGTAGAATTTTTCCGAAGGCCGTAATGCCGGCCATTTCGTGACTATTTTTTGGTGGGTATGCTAGGAAGTCGTAAACTAAATACTGCGGACTTCGGGTTAATGTTATTACTGTAAACACCAATCTTTATTTGTATATATTTGTATATGTACTAGTAGCTTTCATTCGTCATATAAGTATCATAATAAATATATATATCATAAAATAATAATATTTATTTGGTGGCGTAGAGAAATGCTGATAATCAGATCAAATTCAAATGGGATCAACCTTATAAATCCTATCAAATTCTTGAAAGGAAGAAAAAAAAAAAATTTTTTTGGTGGTTTTTATTTCGCTTTCTTTTGAGAGATTTTTTATTCAAAATTGATAAAGTAGAACTGGCTACGTCAGTTTATTAGTGCCACCAAAACGATAAGCTTAATAAATAGAGCTTTATTTGTTATTGTGAAGGCTTTTACTTATAATTTATATAATTATAAACTTTGTGGTTTCTCCTTTCACACCCAGATTTTTTTTTTGGCACTTTTCCCGCGTTTGGAAAGGTGCATTATCATCACGGCGCTACAAAAGCAAGTCGTTAAATTAATTATCTTTCGGGGACACCAGGTACCTATTACGAAACCCATGAACATGCATACAACCCAAACGTCGAAAGTTGTAATGTGAAAGTCCAAAATTCTACTAATACATATAGTAATGTATAATGTAGTGTATAAAATAGAAATATAATTAAATATATTTTTTGATTTTTGCAAAATTGTTTGGGTTGCATGTATATCATGAATAACAATATTTGAAAATGAAGCATTTTTCTAAGATATCGTTTTTAATCATACAGCGGTCACCTCCCTGGCAAATCCGCAATTTTAGTGTTGCTTGAAAAGTCGCAGGTTCGTTAGGTGTCGTCCCAGCTCGTGTTATCGGCGAGCGGTTAGGTGTCATTTTAATAAGCTAAGGGTTTTCACGTCCCAGTCTGTTGTGTCATCGGCGGTTAAGGTGTCTCTGTTCAGTGGTTCCTTTTAGATCATCGCAATTATTTGAATTCCCAACGTTACTACAATATGAAAAGATTTGATTATTGCAGATATTCAAATTCCAGCATTGCTACAAATATTGAAGGACAAAGTGAAAACATTGAAAATGGACAATTTCACTCAGAATTGTCTAAAGATCAGATCGTTATCAAAGACAAATCTATCAAAAAAAATGGCATGCCACCTATCAGCACATTGCCAGTCGAAGAAATTTTGAAATCTTACTTAACAACTCTCGATTTGGACAATTGTGAGACGGAAAGTGATAATGCTTTCTTTGTCGCTGATCTTGGTGAAATATATCGTCAACACCTTCGTTGGAAAACTAATTTGCCTAGAGTTGAGCCATTTTACGGTAAATTAAGATCAATTGCTTGTAATGCCAAATTTAGTAATTTATTATTTTAACTTGAGAATTTTCATTTCTATTGAGTAGCAGTTAAATGTAATACAGATCTTACGTTGCTTAGATTGTTGGCAGCTCTAGGAACAGGATTTGATTGTGCTAGCAAATCTGAGATAAAAACCATTCTTGATATGGGTATCGATCCATCTAAAATCATCTACGCTAATCCATGTAAACAAAGTTCGTTTATACGATTCGCCGCTGAGCATGATGTCAAAATGATGACATTTGATAATGCGGAGGAACTCCGCAAAATCAAACGTTTTTTTCCTAACGCTCAATTGGTTATTCGTATTCTCACCGATGATTCTAAAGCTTTGATCAAGCTGGGAACTAAATTTGGTGCTTCTTTAAATAACACGGGCTTTCTTTTACAAACTGCTCGTGATTTAGGCTTAAGCGTCATAGGAGTCAGGTATAATCTTTTTTAAAATATTCATTTTTCCAATATTTCTTTTCATTTTAATTAATCGCATTTTTTTTTTTTTTGATAGTTTTCATGTTGGTAGCGGTTGTTATGATGAAAATGCTTATATTGATGCTATTCATAGGGCTAGATTTGTATTTGATCAAGCTACGGAATTAGGTTTCAATTTTCATTTACTCGACGTTGGGGGTGGATTTTCTTTTTCACACAAAAGTGATGATGGAATCAGTTTTGAAAAAATAGCGGCTCTACTTGGGCCTGCTATTGATAAATATTTTCCTCCCAATATCCGTGTCATTGCTGAGCCTGGACGTTATTATGCAGCTCCAGCTTTTACTATTGCTACGCATATTATTGCTAAAAGAACGGTTCGTAGAGATATTGAAGAGGAGTATATTCCGAATATGAACGCCGACCAAAACGATGTATCGCCGACTGGGGACGACCATCCAGCATTTATGTGTAAGAATAATTATGATATTTTTTTCATCTTGTGAATTATACATTTTTATGTAGATTTTAATCCATTTTTTTTTCTTAGATTATATTAATGATGGCCTATATGGCGCTTTCAATTGTATTCTTTATGATCATCAACTTGTTACCCCCAAAGTTTTGATGAAAGGAGGTAACTTTTTATTTGGTGAAACATTGGACGAACCTGAATATAGCTGTTTTATTTGGGGACCAACTTGTGATTCTATTGACTGTATCACAAAAAATGGAAGTCTTCCTGAATTATTACCTGGTGATTGGCTATATTTCGAAGAAATGGGTGCCTATACTATTGCAGCAGCTACAAAATTCAATGGATTTAAACAAAGTAAAATTATCTATACCACCACTGAACCCCATGTTCTTGATGTGCTCTCTCTCTGAAGAATTTAAAATTACCTAATGTTTGTCTTGGAATAGAGAAACAATTCAAAGCGATATTTTATATCAATAATTGAGATTTTGATTTTCTAATTAAAGATCAATATCGTTAAGAAAAAAAGACCTATGGAACTGAGACATAACCTAGTATCAGGAGCCCTTAATTCGACAGAATATCAAAATTTTGATTAAATAATTTTTGGTCAACACTCGATTTTGTTGGATCTTATTGAAACATTAATCTTTTAAACAATTCAGGTTGAAATTATGGATTTGTACAGTTTGAAACAGCAAAATATTTGATTAAAATCATGTTGAAATTTAGAAATGATTGCAAGATATTAAAAACAGCTTAAATGATCAATGAAGTTTTCTTTGAAAGTATTTTAAATTTTTTTAATACTTCAAATTGTACTGTAATAATAGAAAATTTTTTACATATATAATAAACATTTAATATAAAAATCGGGGAAAAATTATATTAGCAAAAACAAAATTAAAATTTTATTATTTACAAATTAGCAAATTATAATTTTTTTTAATGATCAAATATTATTTTTCAATTTTTATTAATTATAGGTTATTATTATTTAAATATTATTAGAAAAAAATGGTAGATCAACATGATTATAATTATTTTTAATAATTATATTAACATTTATTTATTTTTTATAATATATTTCTTTTTTTTTTAATTTATATTAAATTAATTATAAAATAAAATGTAAGTTGGATAAAGTATCTGAATATTCAAATTAATTAATAATAATTGATTTAAATTTAATCAAATTTTTATATATTATAGAAATAATCTCAAAATATATTATATAAAAATTTTTATATAATTTAAATCAGTTTTTTTTTTTAAAAAAAAATGTGATAATATAATATTTTATTATATAAAACAATTTTAATACAAAAAAAAATATATAAATTCCAAAATAATTACAAATATAAAAAATAAAAATTGTTATTTGATATTCTTTATTAATAAAATTAATTTTTATTAGACCATCTGATTATCTTATCTAATTCTAATCACAAAAATTTACTGAGCAATCATTATTACTAAATTATATAAAAAGAAAAATTTAGAATAACTGATTATTATCAATTTAAAAAAAATAATACAATCATATTTATAAAAATTATTTAGAAGAGAAATATAATTCAGAATACATTAAAAAAATTATTTATAGAAAAATTGATATTAGAAGATTTAAAGTTACTTTTTTTGATAAGTAGTGATATATAGAAATCTTTTTTATCAATAATTAATTTATATCTAATTTTTTATATAATATTATATATTTGATCAAATATAAAATCATAAAATGATATAAAAATAGAAGAGGCAATAGTAAGAATTTGATAAAAAAAGTTAAAGTATAAGGGAATATAGAAGAAATAATACTTTTGTTAATATTAATAAAAGAAAAATTATGCAAATTAGTTCTTAATAATCAAATATTATAAAAAGGATTTAGAATCTTGTTAACATTAATAAAAAAAATTCAGTTTTTGAAGTATAAATAAATAATTATTACTTTAAATTTAAGATAGTATCAACAATTAATATTTTTAAAGTAGGTCTAATTTCTATATAATTAAGATCTTTATTTTGATTATTATAATAGTAGTATTTTCAAAAAAATAAATAAAATATAAATTGTATTGCTTTCATAAATTGAATAGTGAAAAGTTGTTTTGAAAGAAATTTAATTTTTGAAAATGATTTCTTATTTCTTTGAATAATGTAATATCTAATAAATCAAATTAATAAATTTAAAGATAAAGATCTAATTAATTTATAAATATTAATATTTGATATATTATTTAAAATAATAATATTTAGTGAAATATTTAGTATTTGTATAGTCTTTCAAAAATAATTACAAAGAATAGTAAATAAGCATATTATTGAAATTGTATATATATCTGACAAAAAAATATAGTTAAGAAAAAGTTATAAAGAAAGTAAAAGAAAAAAAATTTTTACTAATTTATTAGCTTTATCATTATATAAATCATTAAAATAAGTAGTAACTTTAAAATTGTAAAAAAGATTTGGTGTTTATTAATAATTTTAAAAATAATAGATTAAAAAATATAAAAGAAAATCTTAGACATTAAAAAGAGATAATTAAATATATTGATTCTAACTATATAATTATATATGTAAATAAAAGCTAAAGTAATATAATAGTAATAAAAGATGAGAAAAAGCAGATAAAAAGATAAGTAAAAGAGCAAAAATTTTAGTGTTAATAAAATTTATCTAAATAGTTAAAATAACAATTAAAAATTTAAAGAATTATACATCAAATAAAAAGCTAAATTTAAATAAAAAGATATTAATGAATAAATAAATTTTGAGAACTATCTATGTAAGAGGTAAGAATTTTTTAATTTAAAATAAATAGTAAAAATTAATTAATGAAGAACTAACTATTATTTAAAAATAAATTGAAAATAGTAATATAAAATGAAGTCTGATCAATTATGATTTAAATATTTCTCTTAAAAAGGTATAGTTTGTTATTATCAATTAAAGTAAAATACATTACTTCAATTATTTAAGATAAACTATCATCAATATTAAGTATTATAATTTTAAATAAATTTTAACAATTTAAAAAAATAAAAAAATATGAAATAAAGATATTTATTTTTTAAAGTAGATCTAAAATTATTATTAAAAATTATATTATTAACATAATATTGAATAGCAACTTTATTAGAATAAATCTGAATTTAATTACTTTTCTAATAACTCTCTAGCTTTATAAAAAAGCTTATAATAGTTTTGATTAAGTGGTATTTAAAAAGTTATTTATATGCATTTTTTTAAATCTTCAAAGAGAATAAAATTGAAAATCTTTATAAAATTAAATTATCTATTTGATATTATATTTTTTAACAGTTAAAGTAAATAGAATTATCAAAAATAATTTATTGTAAATATAAGAATTATCTGAAGATATTACCAGCTATATTTTTCTTAATTTGAGAATGTTATCATAATATTTCATTAAAAATATTTTTTAATTAATAAACTATTCTAAAAATAGAGTTCTATTGCATTTAAAAAAAGAAAATCTATTTCTTTTTCTATAGAATTAGGAATTAAATAATAATAACACTACTTTGTATAAAAAAGTTATTAAAAATTAGTTTTATATATTAAAAAAGAAACTTTAAAATATAATATTATTTATAGTTAAATGAGCTAGTAAATAATAAGATTATTACATAACTAAAAAAGTTTTAAATCTGTTTAAAATAAATTTTATTACTAATGATAAATATGATTTAGATATATTACTATTAATTATTAATATAAAGTACTATAATTTGAAGTACAATATATTAGATGAAAGATTATTAAAATTATAAGAAAATTTGTTATTTAATATGCTATTAAGAGTATTTTTTTTAAAGTTTAAATTTGTATTTGATAAATATTTAAATATGCAAAATAATACAAAATATTCTTTTTATAAAAAAACAATTAATTAGAAATAATATTTCAATTAAGAAATAAAAATTTAATTAAATAAATATTTGAGTTACTTATATATAAGTAATTTAAATTTATGTTTTAGTATAAAATCAGTTATTTTATTTTCTAATAGTTATTTAATAAACTTTTGTTATAAAAAGTTAAAATTCAGATACTTAGATATTAAATAATAAAAGAACTATTAAAATACAAATTGTAAAATAAATATAAATATTTGTAAATTATAATATTAATATAAATGATTTTTCTAAATTTAATTTGTATAAAATTAAAGTCAAAAAGAATTGAATAATGTTAAATATATTATTATATTTCAAATGATTATTAGTGATTCAGATAGTATTATCTATATAAGTTAAATTAAAATAGATATAACAATATAATTAGATTTAATATTTTAATATTAAATAACTATAACATATTTATAATATACTTTAAATTAGACTTTTAATATAAAATAAAAGGGATTATTGTAGATAAGACTTTTAATATAAAATAAAAGAGAATTATTGTAAACAACTTATAGTAATACTAAGATAATTTTACTTTAATCTATATCAATTAAAACATTATAGAAATTGGTATTATTATATAATATAAAATACTGTTCTTTTTATTGAGAAAAAAATTCATAATCAAAGTGATAAAGGTTTCTAAAATTTTGAATTTAGTCAGAATTTTTTAAAATATATAAATATTAACTTAATTATAATCTTTAAACATATTTTAAAATAAAATATATAAGTTTAACTCTTAATATTCTAATTTTTTTTTTGAAATGATAAAATTACAAAATATAATTAACTATATATAAACTGTTTTAATATTGATTAATGTGATAATTCAATAAAGTTTAGGCCTTTAATTATATTATTTTTAATAAAAGTATTCTATAAATATTGATTTAATAACTTGATAAATACTTTACAAGTAGTTTTAAAAATATAATTAAATAAGTATTATTAAATTAACAATTCTAAGATTTAGGTTTAGATATAAGTAAATATAAGTTAAATTTTATTATACTGATATATAATTATTAATTAAATAATATTATAAAGAAAATTTTTACATTTAAAATTAAATTTCTTTAATATTTCATTAAAGATATTTGAAAGATCTACTGTTTTGTAATCTAATATATATTTAATAATGTTATCTATTTATTAATAGATAAAAGATCTAAAAAAAATTATATAAGTCATTATTAAGGTTAGTAATATTTCTATTAGTAAAATTTACAATAGTTTAAAATATTTTACATTATAATATTTGATTATATCTAAATCAAAAACTAAATATTAATTAGTAATATTATGATTTTACTATTAATTAATTTAAGATAAGTTCTTTATGATTTTTTTTAAACAAAAATCTACTATATTAGTAAAAGTATTTTTAAAATTATCAACATTTTATTAAATGAATTTACAAATTCAATTATTATTTTTAATCTATTAATTGAGATTTGTTTTACTTG